CCTTCTGTGAGGGGATGTCCTATTGTCTACAGATGGGTTTTGCGTCTCTGCTCTGATCCCCCTCATTCTCAACAGTATGTTTGTTTGTTTGTTTTTAATTTGTTTTGTGTCTTCTGGTGCCTGTTACCTGATTCTGTCAGCACCTCATGAATGCACAGGCTGGTGTGCGTCATCCATGTGGGCTTGTTGCTTCCCTGCTATTTTCAGTTTTCCATTTACAGGATTGCATCATTTGTAAATAAGAGTTTTGTTTCTTCTGTGACAATGTGAATGCCTTAATGTCTTTCTGATGTCTTATAGCCCTGGCTAAGACTTCCAGGACCATCTTAAAGAAGGGTGGCGATGAAGGCAATGCTGCTGGTCCCTGTTGGCAGGGGGAGAAGATTTTAAAATTTTCTCCAGTAAGTGAGATGCTACCTGTTGGTCTTGAATAGGACCTTCATTATGTTGAGGAATTGGTCTTCTGTTCCTTTTTATCAAGAATGGATGTTGAATGTTTATCAAATGTCTTTTCAACATCAACTGATATAACCACTTGTTTCTTATCCCTGATTTTGCTGTTGTGGTGAATTGCATTGATTGTTTTTCTATTATTAAGCCACCCTTGTATATTGGGTTTGAATCTCACTTGATTGTAATTTCTGTTGATGCTTTGTTGAATTATTGTGTATAGAAATTTGTTGAAAAAATTGGCTCCTATATTAATCAGAGATATTGGTCTAGCCTTCCTTTGTGAAATCATTCTGTCATGGACATAGACATCGACCTCATCTTCCCTCTGAATGGATTTTGTTTTCATTGCTGTCCATGTCATTGTTATTTATACCTCCAAATGTTTGTTTATAGGATTCTCTTTCTTAATGATTTAGCAATTTTGGAATAAAAAAGGCTCAAATCTATTTATCCAGGATAACCTTAAGTTTCAACTTCTTTGTCAAAACTTAATCTAACTATGTGTTCAATGCTCCTTAAGCCTCCCTCTGATTTCCCAAGGCTTGTAGCATTTGCATTACTCCAGAATGCGTAATAGAAGCATTCATTGAAGATTAATTAGTTGAAGAACCAGGGACTGGATGAAGGTAGATCGGTTTGAAGGCAGATGCAGTAGATTATAGAAGTGCTTCGGGGCTGTGAGAAAAGGAACAGGGGTAGAACTATTGCTGAGCAGGTAGCTAAGGGGAACTTGGGTTATTAGGATCTGGGTGTGTGATGTAGCTAAGGGGAACTTGGGTTATTGGGATCTGGATGTCTGATGTAGCTAAGGAGAACTTGGGTTATTGGGATCTGGATGTCTGATGTAGCTAAGGAGAACTTGGGTTATTGGGATCTGGGTGTGTGATGTAGCTAAGGGGAACTTGGGTTATTGGGATCTGGATGTCTGATGTAGCTGAGGAGAACTTGGGTTATTGGGATCTGGGTGTGTGATGTAGCTAAGGGGAACTTGGGTTATTGGGATCTGGGTGTGTGACATAGCTAAGGGGAACTTGGGTTATTGGGATCTGGATGTCTGATGTAGCTAAGGAGAACTTGGGTTATTGGGATCTGGATGTCTGATGTAGCTAAGGGGAACTTGGGTTATTGGGATCTGGGTGTGTGATGTAGCTAAGGGGAACTTGGGTTATTGGGATCTGGATGTGTGACGTAGCTAAGGGGAACTTGAGTTATTGGGACCTGGGTGACTTATAGCTCGCCAGCCTCTGCACAGGGATCCTCTGGGGACTGCAGGCATGAAGTCCATATGACGAACTGGGTCCTGCCTTGCTCTCCCATACATTCAGAGAAGTCTCTCCCAGGGGAAAAGACAGCACCCATCCACATGCTCCTTTTCCAAAGTAGGAATTCCATCCCCTGGAACCATGCTCTTCCCTCATCACAAAATTTCAATCCCAGTATAATGTTTTAAAAGAAAACTCCAAAACTCAGGTTTTGTACAAAAATATCTATTTCATTCCATAGTTATATAATAGCATTCACTTCCACATAACATGTTTTATAATACCTGAGGAGTTGCATTATCGGTCCTGGCAAACATCCTCTCAATATTCCAGTGGTGGAATATAGAGTTCAGAGGGAGAAGGTAATTTTTTTAAGTTACAGTTAAAATATCAATAACTTAAATAAGATAAAATTACTTAAGGCATCATATTCCATATCAATACACAAAGTTCACGTTGTACAACATAATAATAAAATAATATCAGACAAATATAGGGAAAGGTAGAGGAAACTAGTCCTTGTCTCCTGGATGTAGTAGCTTCTTGGGTTGTAGCCCTTTCTTGGGTTATAATCCTGTCATGGCCGTGGTGGTTTCTTGAGTTGTACTGTAAGTCCTTGGTGTCTGGGTTTTCTTGGCAAGGGAGGCGATGGAACTCTTGACCCACTTCTGGTTGGGGTCAACACAGATCTCTTTGCCCAGTATAGTCTTGAAGCTGTGGAAGAGAGAGCCCAGCATTAGATGAAGTTATTTTGTGATTTCATCCCGAGAGAGTCCACCCATCCTGCCCCAGCGGTTTTCATGGGAAGAGGAGGGAACTCGGAACCATTGTGCCAATGGAGACCCTGGGATGCTCTGAATGGACACCATTTCCCCCTCTTGGACAGCTCTTCCATTGGGAACCTTTGAGCATGAGATCAGTTGGTGTAAGGCTTTTGACTCTATGACTCTACATTGATGGGTATTGTCCCTTTTTCCCTGGGGAAGGACGTGGAGCCAACTCACATCACAGCTTCTTTGGGACACTTGCTGTTGATGATTCTCTTATAGCTCACCAGCCTCTGCACAGGGATCTTCTGGGGGAAAAATGAGTAGCAACAAGTGACCGGCGAATTGATTGCATCTGGAAAGAAAACCACATAAAAAGGAATTTTAGAATGGGTGATATATGTACATATTTTAAATGTAGAACAGAAAGAGTGTAGTCAAGTTGAAGGTAAAGCATGGGTCAGAGTAGAGGTAGGTGATCGTCATAGTGAATGATGTCTAGAACAATCCTGACTCATGCCAACCCCCTGTGTGTGCAGAGTAGAAGTGAGTGCCCCCTGGGGTTTCCAGACTGACATCTCACAGGCAGATTGGCAGGCTTTCCTTTGAGGCACCTTTGGGTGGGTTCAAACTACCAATCTTTCACCGATGACTTCTGAGTTGTTGGGAGGGACAAATTATCAAGGAAAATTAGCCTCAGCCTCAAGCTCTGGGGTACCCTTTTAGGTTCTAATCAATCCTAAATGGTATCCCATGAATTCCAGTTAGGCTCTGCCCATCAGAGGCTGTATGATCAGTCTCCCTTCTCGACCTCCACTGAGTTTCTCTCTCCTGAGAAAGCAGATGTTAGAGTGAGACTCTCTTTGGGAAGCCTCTGTGCTTTAATAATCCAGAATAGGGTGATGCAGAAGTGGCCTTACCTGGCTGAGCAAGCACCTGGGAGGTGAAGAGCAGTAGGCTGAGGAGAGCCACGGAGACCTTCATGTTGGAGGGTGGGGAGGAGGAGAGCGTCAGCTGGAGAGTTGGCAGCTTCAGGGTTGTTCTCAGCCTCTGCTCCTCTGACTGCTCTGCCTGCCTTTTATTGAAAGCCAGAAGGGTGGAGCAGGGAAGCGAGGGCGTGGCTTAGGGCAATCTCACCCTCAATGAATGATGGAGTCAGCAAGTTCAGCTCCCTGGGAGGTTTCAAGGAAGTAGGAGTAGTAAGCACTGAGCACACTTTCCATCTTCCGTAA